ATGGGGTCGGCTCCAGCACGCCCCGCGACCCTTGTGAGGATAAGCGAATTAGAAAATTGGATGAATGGATGTTTGAGGACAACCTCAGAGAAAAGACTCTGAGCCTCGTGTTGATTGATTGCGGAAAGGCAGGTAAAGAGCATTCCATCCGATTGGCTGGCAACCAGGGTATTGCCCGAAGACAAATGGGGTCGGCTCCAGCACGCCCCGCGACCCTTGTGAGGATAAGCGAATTAGAAAATTGGATGAATGGATGTTTGAGGACAACCTCAGAGAAAAGACTCTGAGCCTCGTGTTGATTGATTGCGGAAAGGCAGGTAAAGAGCATTCCATCCATGACACAAGCTGTTGTCCTCTGAGACATAAACCTGTGACGTCCACAGCGGTTGCACAGTAACCACAGAAAAATGGGTCATCAGTGAAACTTTGTTTTGCTGTGAACAAACTTTTTTCACACGCAGCCATATAGCAACGAGGTTATTTGAAAGTTTCTTAACATGCTTGGTCTTCTTGAGTACCTCTTGACTTCTCAAGTTGTGCCTGTGGAAGAATATCACCCTTGCTATTTAAAGCCTTTAAAAGACTGCCACTAGAGAATGTGCTTGATAGAAGAGCAGTGAGGTGTGCTAACAGCCATTATGTTAAATGACGCAATTCATGTCAAAGGTATGCACAAATTGCTGGAGGATATCCAGTTTTGCACCCCACAGGAGGAAACTTTCATGCTCAGTTCTTGAGCTATGCACATTTTCAACAACTATCTTCAACTTTGCTGCTGTAAATTGGGAATTTATCCATTGTGACACGAATAAAGGTTTTCGTATTCTTATTATTATTCAAACATGAATACTAAAATGATATTGGATGAGTTCAAAGCACCATTTCCTGTTTTTTTTGTTTTTTTTCTTTTTACAATGAATCCAGACGTCAGGGCTTTAACGGAAACAGAAGTCTTACGGTTAATAACTTACAGTTTAGAATCACTTTGAAACTGAATCCCATATCCAAACAACACCTGCTTCCCATATATCGTAAGGTTTTACTCGTTGCACTGAATAGGTATTTTTGGGAGTGAAACATCAGATCACCATGCTTACAATGACAATTGTTGAAGTGATTCTTGAATGTTTTTGGAAAACAAGGAAAAAAAATCAACAAAATTTAAACACGAATGAGTACAGTCGTCTCGAGTCAACCTTTGCGGATTACCACGACTAGAATCTGCACAGACGTGAAGAAGACACATTTTAAGCAAGCAAATTGGTGTTTTTTTTAATGATATTGTAATAAAAATGACTTTGTCTAGGATTGCTATTATGTAAGCAATATGTTAAAAAGTTGATTTCATTCTTCTGAAATTGACTGTCAATCAGAATGAAAGAGAACAAAAGCAAAATTAGGAATCCCTTTCTTTGTATTCTTAATCATGTTGAAGATTGACCCCGCCGGATTGGAGGGCGCCACAGAATGGGTCTGTCCTCTCACCAAGCTCCCTCGTATTCAGAACTCAATCAAGTGAAATGTTGTGACAACATATTGATTTAATGTGACATTGTTTATTATTGTATAAAATCAACCATTCAGTAAATATTCAATCCAATTGTAATCTTTGTGTTGAGGGATAAGGAGATGTTAGATTTTCTTATACATGTTTTATGCAACTTTTGAATTGCATTTCAGACTTTTCAACTGTTTTTATTGATGTACATGAAAAACGTTGCACAAATCTGAACATATGCATACCCTCACACAGATAAAAAGACTTTGAGCACGGACTCCAGCATCGAGTGCCTTCCTTTAGTGCTGCTTTTGATTCATTGTGATGACTTGGAGAGCGATGAAGATGGAGAGTAAAATTAATCCGCACACCAGCGCCACGATATTGAGGATCTTGGCTGTCTTCGACGCATCAGCAGCTGCGACTGAGTTCCCGGTAGCGTTGGCATTTTGTACCTTAAATAGAACAAATGCACCACTCAGAGAATACCGTCATGACTGGGACCAAAGCCTTCGCGTTTAGTTGATTTGCAATTGGAAAACAACTTGAACAATGACTCTTATTTTTTTTTGGGGGGGGGGTGATGTAGAAAGAGACAAAAGCAAAACAAGGCCTACCTTGGAGGAATAGACAATCGCTGCAATGCCAATTGGCCAACAGCAACATAAAGTGTTGAAGATGGACCACGCCAAATAGGAGGGCGCTGCGGAATGGATCTGTCCTCGCTCCATACTGCCTCGTATTCAGGGCTCAAGTGGCTGGGAGGGTGACGGCCGTCACCTTTTGTACGGAATGGGTGGAGCACCTTTTGACTTTCAAAAGTGTCACACCGATGCTACAGCGGCGTCATTTATATATGTGTGTGTGTGTGTGTGTGTGTGTGGGATGGGGGGGGGGGGGTGCGGG